TTCCATCCAGTAAGCACTATCGCTTCTCCTCCATGCGTGCGTGCGAGCTTTCCGTACTGTGCCAACTTAGTACGTATTTTATGCGGCTACTTTCCATGAGTTAAAATCGTTTATCCCTTTTTATCACCACCTAATCTATAAGCTTTGATTACTCAGTGTTGCAATTAGGTGAATCCTTTTATGTGTATTTCCCAGATGCGTTGGGCTAATGCGAAGTGTACTTACACCTCTACATGGATGCCGTTTAAGCTCTTTGCATATAGGTGCTGAGGATCACTTGAAGAGAATGATTACCTTTGTGGATGGTTAAATTTTGCTGCTAATTGTATACTCATATGGAGCAGCATATTTGACCCTCTGCTGCGCATTTCCACTGTCGACATCGTTGGTAAGAGCAGTTTTGCGAATTCCTTAATGAAAGAGGATAAAAGTGCCTAATTATTTGGCTTCTGAATAAGTTGCAAAGGCTCACCTTCGGATTAAACATAATTATTTTGTATTAAATAAGTAAATTTTACAATTTATTTGCGTTTACTGTAGGCGATGAAAGGAGTGATGTGCATTGCAGTTGAAAAATTCAAAGCACAGCATCCATTTACCTGCGCAGTCCATCAATTAATCTCAAAAAAGTCTTGCAAAAGGATGTCGAATAGGTGCTAAGTTTTGTCCAACGGAGCCTTCAGCCTGAACTAAAGCTGACTATTCTTTGTCTCCATCTTATTTCACAGGATTCTGAGCTTGTGACGCGTAAATCTGTACTACTACCTACCTTAGCCATTCAGGAATTGTGTGTCTGTTGATGTGGATGCTTCCACCCCAGAGGATACTTCTTTCCTATCCCGCACCGCCTTGCTTAACTTCCATCTCTACAGGCGATTTTAGATTGAAAGGAGGTACTCGCGCTTTATGCAACTAAGCAGATGTCTTAAGGTTGTCAAGATTGTCATTGAAACCTTCTTTGCCAAATCGGTCATTGTTAGGTGCTTTCACCACGGGATGTTTCTCCTGCAGTGATTCCACAAGAGGACTGAACGACTACAATTTAGTGCACTGTTATGGAGCGTCAAAACTCCAGTTTTTAGCAGTAAATTAAAATCATGAAGAAAAAATGGTGGCGATGAGGGCAGTGAGTGTATGGCAAATGTTGCTTTGTCGTAAGGAGCTGCAAGCTTCCAAGTTAAAAAGAAGAATAAGAAGGGATTGTGATGCGTTATAAACATGACAACAACCTTACAACATAGGCGATCGCATCTGTAAATGTGGTACGTGGAAAGAATCACTTCCCCTATCCTTCGTATGCGGTGCCTCTCTGGGACAAACCCACCAACACGATCGTTGGGCCGAAAAATAAGAGGTAGACGTCATCACATACGCTGCCACAGGGATTAATGCGATTCGTGACAGTGTAGGGAAGTAGAAGGATGTAAAATAAGCGGGCCTTCTGCTTTCCATCACCGCTCTCTAACGGTCACTTACACAGCTACTGCCGACAGAGCTGAGAAATGCGTGTTAGGGACAGTAAAACGCTCTTGTGTAGGAATCAGACCGCCCACCTCTCACAACGGAGTAGAAAGGCAACTTCAAACCTGTAAATGGGACGTAAAATGAGGAGACGGTGGTCGAGACACTACGAAGTGGTTGCTTTTGCAGTCAAAGCAGGCACCAAAGTTGGTTTAAGCAGTGCTACAACGATATTGGTGATTTCACACTCCACGTTGCATTGTTGTTCTCTCCAGACAGTTGCCTCCTCAAATCGCCAAATCTGTCTCCTGTTGGAATGGCAGTGTAGTCGTTTTCCATGCATTTGCAACTCTCTCAACATCGCCATCGCGAGAAAATGACGTTGGGAGGTCTGACAGGGACAGAGCGGTGCAACTACGACGCTTCTTGCCCATTTTTACCATCAGAACATGCATAATAGGAAATGAGGGATCTCCTGTTTTTGCCAAATTGTAGAAAGGTGATGAAGAACTTCTAATCAGCTTTCGATCAGACGAACACACGTCTATTTAAAGTGAGAGAACTGCAGCCTTGACCAAAACTGCACAAAACAGAAAATGAGATGCTCATTTATGCTCACATGGAATCGGAGTGAAGGTGGAGTAAAACTCGTTGTTGATGGTCAGAGTCTTGAGTGTCCACACCTCTGTGGGGCAAGAACATGCCCTTACAACGGGAAGAAAGTCAAATTAAGGAGTGGGAGGATCGGTGTCGGCACCATATCATGTAATTTTGTACTACGGCAGAAGTAGTCGCGTCCAGACGACGGAGGACGCCTCGTTATCAAAGCAGCGGAGCATGGAAGACCTCATAGCCACATTTGACAAATTGTCGGCGGTTTTGGCTCTCAATCAGCACCAGCAGCAGTCGGGACAGTCCGCTAAATGTCTCCATCTGTTCCATCCTACGGCCTTTAACTCGTGATTTAACTCGCTTAAGGAGGTCTTTAAAAAAAACAAAAAAAAAAACACAAATATGATGTCTACAAAGCTCTTTCGGAAACGGTTTGAGGTCACTGACCATAAAAGTGCAGATGAGTTACTTGTGGCACTCATTGACATGTTGAGTAGTGCAAGTCAAACTTTTGTGTCTTTCGACTTTTAGTGTTGTAAAACGATGTGGACAGAAAAAGAAGACAAATAAAACACCATCAAATCGTGAATTTTGGCAGAAACTTTTAATTTCCGTGTGGATTTAGTGAGGGTCGTCGGTTTTTTATTGCGCCAGTTTTAATAATTGGAAGCAGACGTGAGACGATTTTTCGTATGCTCTGATAAAGGCGTAGTTAAAGACGCAAGGGAATTCTCTCCTTTCCCCATCTCGTCCACGTTATGCTGTCACAAAAATTGCAGCGTTTAGCGCATGTAAGTAGGGAAAGGCGGACACGACAACTAACCACTACCCATCAGAGGACTGCCCACAAGAGGACTGTTTAAATTTGTCTACTTTTAGGGTACAAGTTGCTTATGTGGAGACATTTTGTACCACCTACAACACAACTGTTTGCATATTAGCAAATATGTATGCAAAATACAGGAAATCGTACGCTTATTTGTGCACATTCCACATCAAGTCATTCGGACAGCGTAGCCACGACGAAGTGATGTGTATGTGTGTGTGTGTCAAGCAGAAACTCTCAATATGGACGCTGAATTACATTTATGCAGCAAGAGGGACTTGCTTTCTGATGCCATTATAGTGAAGGCTGTCGCCATGGTAACCACATGTTACCGTAAAAAAATTGCAATCACGGAGAGGTCTTCTACACCCCAAAACCTCACTTCTTTCTTTACAATGTCCTCTTCCAAGCAGCAATGTTAGCAGGTACGCAGAAACGTATGTGTTAAACTTTCAAACTGCAGAAATTTTTTTCGGCTTAGTTTTGAGCTCTATGTTTGGCAATGATTTGTCATTAGTGGAATAGGTAAAAGGGAGTTCAAAAATCCATTCTAAACGATCAAGAGAAGTGGAGACCACTTCAAGGGGAGGAAGAATGTTGTGACACGTTGGTGTCGAAGGGTGGCCATACAGATTTTAGTCCATGTGCAGAGGACACTCGCACCCACCGCTCTCGCCTCCCCATTTTAAATGCACCACATGCTCCGACCTTTGAGAAAAAGACCGGTCGACAAGTGTTTGCCTTGCAAAATCTTTGCTTAAGGAACACAAAGAGACGACTCCTTTACTGTCTATTTCGTTATCGTTAAAAGTAAAAAATAAAATTTGCACTGCAAGAAGTCCGACGTCGAGGAAACTAAGTTGTGACCGTCAAATTCTTAGCAAAATGAAAACAAATCCACTTCGTGAAGTGGTTGTGTTGGGGGGAGGGCGGTGGCAGTGGCGAGGGTGAGTGAAGATGTGGCACAAAAGTGGCTGATTTCCATTACTCTTCTTCCAAAAGTTGAGGCGCCTTTGGTTACGGCGTGCTGCATTTCCAAGCCTCCGTTTTCGTCTACCAATGGCGATTCCTCAGCTACCTTTTGACACGTAAAACTTACGTGTGCCACGACGCCTACTTTGCGGCAGATTTGACTGTGCTGTCAAAAAAGGGGGTCGTTAGGAGCCTTACCATTCAAATACGCGATCTCGGAGCTCCAAGAGGCGATCCATCAGCGCGCACTCGAAGGCAAATGTCAGTTCGCATTGCAGCAGTCTCCAACCAACTACAAAATGTCATTGTTTTGGTCTTCCAAGAGGTGCCGATTCGAGGCTCGTTGGGGCCTTCATAAACACACCCTTTCCCATATATCTTCACTTCACGACATTTCATTAGGCGTCAATCGTTCACGACTTGTGCAAAAGCAAAGCGATGCAAAAGCATCCAGTCCTTTACCATCACCTCAGCTTGTGTTCCACGGGCTCGGTTTGTGGTCTGTTGGTGGCAAAGAGCACACAAAGGTGCGGTTGTACCACCACATGCCTCAAACCTGCTCAAAATCCACTTACAACTGCAGTGAAAACTTTCCTACTAAAACATCCACACACCTCTTGGAGGGATTCAGTTTGTCTGATTTAAGAGACGAGTTGGTGGAGCGGAACACATAAACGCCGCCGTACAGATGAGGTGACAGTAAGTTATTCCTCTGTTGATCAGTTGGACAAAACGTAGATCACACTTGTCCCAGTTGTTGTTCTGAGGTTTGTAAGTTTTTCCATTCCTTTTTTGTCTGCGAAGCTGTTTTATCCACTGTTTAACACAAATCTCTTTTGATCACTGCTGCAAGCACGTTTATTCCACGATTCAACTTCCTCCGCCGCCAGTGCATTTTTATTGCCTCTCTTATGATGGAATCAGAAGAAATATTTAAATGCAATTCCGATCAATTCTTTTCTTTAAAAACATATTACTTAGAACTCCACTGCGTAATCTACTGTTGTAATAAGTGCTATTAAAGGAGCTTCATTTTGCCGGCCACTTGTTGCGGACTCTTTCAGTTCGAACTTTGTTGGAATGTTCTTCAACAGCAAAGAGATTTGAACTCAGCCAAAGCGATTATGTTTTAGCGATTTGAACAGAGTTGGTAGAGTTGTTTGCACTGAAATTCCTTCTGGAGAGCAGTTGTCGAGCAGTGCATATGGATGCGATGATGGAAGGAAGATACCGTAACGGCACAAGGCAAGGCGGGTGGAAGAGCTTGCGTAGCAGGAGTCCAAAGAGGGACGAATTGAGGCAGGAGTTTGTTGGCGTCACGAAGCAAAATGAATCTCAGCAGTTCCGCGCTTGCTGATGCAATAAACTTGTTGAGAAGGTTCTCCATCCAGCACAATGCACCACCTCGTTGACAAAGTCCCTCTGCCAAGTTGCGAAGGCGACAATTCTGCAGGCCAATGGTTGAGACAGTGCAATGAGAAGAGGGTGTGGCTTGCGGAAAGCACAAGTAGGACACCTTTCTCGGCACCCTGTAAACAGGACGTCACTGCGTTGAGGATGTAGTGGACACGCCTTGGAATGCGTCCATCAGCACTCCCTCAATCATGTAATGCGCTTTCGGCACTGCTTTACCTTCTACCGGTGGTCTCTCGTGTTACTATGCGGATTTATGCTGCGGTGGTCACAAAATTGTCATTCTCACTGTATTTTCCTTTTCACGTTAGCTACATCAGCATATTAGGCATACACCTTTCCAGACGTTCGCACGAATCCCCTGTGGTCGGCGGAAGCTCCAACATGTTTCCACCATCAGCTAGACCAGACTACGCAAAGTGCTGAGGAGAGAGATGCGGTGTTACGAGGTCCAAATTAATATGCTTTGCCAGAGAAGTCTCCATCAGATCAGTCTTGTCGAGACAGCTGTCATGCACCCCAAACGGCGGAATCCACCAACTGTGAAGTCGGCAGACGACCGACATCACTTCTTAGTCAGCCGCAGCGGCTACAGTCCGCCTTATGATTTGCACGCAACGCAAAGTGCAAAACCACGAAGCAAAAAAAAGTTTAATTCTACGGAATTTTTTCCCCGCAGAGTCCAAAAGTCCCTACTCTTTACGCTAAGCGAAGTTAAAATTAGATTTCTCGCATTCTCAGTCCATCATTGTGGAAGGATTGAAAGTAAAATTGACCGCTATTTGCAAAATACTACTCAAATCGGTCTTATAAGTCAATTTACGCATCTTAAGACCATGCAAACCAACAAGCACAATGAAAGCCTTCACACACCTACTTAGTAGTGCAACTTTTGGCCATAAAGTTAACGTATAACTTTGTGTCTCCCCTTTTCTTTGCATTTTATGATCAATCCTTCTGCGTGGAAGTACAACTCCACATTTGCTTTAATCAGCATCGGCATGAAATGAGTGAAGCGCCATCTACTGGCGGGCGGGTATGAATTGTTCGTCTTAGAATGATTCGACTTAGTAATAAAAACAGCAACAAAAGTTGGCGGCCTTGTAATTATCACTCTCGTCCTGTGTTAAGTGGCCATCTTCAGCCATCCTACGTCTCTCCCTTCACGCCCACCTCCTCTTGGTTGTTATCAAAAAATTTAACAAAAATTGAAGATGTTCCCTTCACGAGGCTTATAAAATTGAGGTTTGGTAATCTTCCGCTTTTTAAGGGATATGGAAAAAGCATAAGCCGTGGATGTAAAACTGGAGTGGCGGTTCAGTCTGCTTATTTCACACCGATTTTGCATCAAGGGTTCCATATTTGGCCAGCTGACTTTGTCATGACTTTAGCGTGGCAGTCGTTGGTAATAGCATGACTGGGAGGCCAAGCAATAGTACATTTGCCCTCGAATTGGTTGATATTATGACAACTCACATGAAGTGAGTGCACTTTAAGGAATAAAGGGGTCATTCGATAGGTCGGTCAAAGGTCGACGCTCCTCCTCAAGAATGTAATAGACAGCTCTCGCAATTGCATCGACATCCACATTCACGCCCTTTGTTTGTTGCAGAAGGTCATGACCCTAGTTTGTCCTGTCTGCTTTCAACAATTTCTCAAGCATCGTCAACTCCACGACCACCTGCAAGCAGCGCATGCAGGTACGCCTTTTTTAACACTCTCAATATGCAAATTGTAATCATTTGCTTTAAAAAAACAAATTCACCGAAAACAACAACCATTTTGCCCCCTCGGTAGAGTTGGGACGATTTGTGTGCATCCCTTGCAGACGGACTTATCGGTCCTATTGTTGCTTGGACAGGCACAGGGAGGAATGCCATGAGGGCAAGTTACTGTGTCTTCCTTTTTTGTTGAAAGATGCGTTTTTGGATTGACGTTTTCCATTTAGGACAGCCAACTACCCTGCAGGCAAGCAGCGCCATGGACGACTACTTCAAACGCTACATAATGTCAGAGCAGAGAGGTGCGTTGTTCTCGCCTTACTCTTGGACAGGCTTTGACCCCCTAATACCTGCATTTTTCTCACAGAATTCATTTGTAACGGTTTCGGGTCGGGATTGGGAGGCGTCTCAGGACTGCTGGGATTCAGTGCGTGAACTTTAAATTCCCACTGTCCCCCTTCATGAAGCAAATGATTGTCCACAAGAGGGCTAAGGAATTGCTCCCTCTTCAATTTTAGCCCAACAGGATGTTGACGAGTGCGAATGTTGCGAAAGGTCGGACTGTGTTAAGCGTTTCACCTTCACGTGGAGGAGTTTTCGTAATTCCTCATTCTAAGCACTGCAAGGCATAATTGCTCTCGCATTTTGTCTCGTCAAAACTGTCCCTTGTGTAAGTTGGTGTTGACAAACTTTCTGATATGACATGTTTGATTTGTACTGTTTTGTGTCTACGCTTTGCCTGCCTGACACCTTAAAATGATCGCCACATTAATTGCGTCCTCTTAGGTTTTGCAATCATTCCAGTAAAATGTAATGATGCTTTTAAAAAGAAAATCTCTCTTTAATTTTGGTTTGACTTTGTTAAGCAAGGACCGTCTAAGTGGATGTGAACTGCGAGGCCATTGGCGACCAACCCTGCATGAAATTTCCCTCCATCTTTTATATGTGCATGGCGGAGTTAAAACATAGTTTTCTCAAATGAGTTATCTGGGATTTATCCGAGTTAAAACTGATTGTCAAACACATTTTAATATTCGCGATAAGCAAAATTTCGAGTGCCATTTAATAAAATTAAAATGAAAAGGAGGCGAACAAAAGTAAATCTCGTTCTTTTGCCAATGCAATGAGGAGGTCGAGGGTTCAGTGGAGCATTACGCCTAAGATTTCGATCACTTCTCCATACACTATCGGATTAGTCTCGCTCATCTCCACCTTTTCGTATTACAGGTGGCATTTGCATTAGCCGTATTTCCGAATAATTCACCAAAATGTCACCGAAGGCACTTTATTTGCCTCACATATTTTGGTTACAATAAGTACACAATCTCGGTTAACTCTAAACCATCTACATACGTAGCATAAAAGCGCAAGCTACGTCATTGCTGGTACTGTTGGTAGTTTTAATGCCAACGTGTGAAATTGGATTAGAGCTCTGATGTCGTACGCCATCAGTTCCTAACCACTGAACCATAGAAACTTGAACAGACACTATACTTTCACCCCTCACTGCTGTTGCTGCTTTCACTGCAGCAGTGCGCCGGGGTGGGTAAGGTTTGCATTCAGCTGCCTTGGTATATGTGTGACGCATATCATTAGAGATGAGTAGATGTAAAGATAAGCGTGGAAGGAGTGGGGGGAGGTTAAGGAAAGGCACAATGGCCAATGGGTTATATATTAGTAGGGATTGAGACAGTGAGTTAAGATGGGAGCGCATTTGAAGAGGAAAAATGGCAGGATATTACTTCCCGACTGGACATCCAGTGCACTCATCTACAACGCAACCTCGCCCGAAAAAACGCAAAGCACATTACACAAGGGAGTTGCTTGCCACTGCACTAGGAGTGTAAGTCATGCGAAGCCCGCAAAGTCGCAAAACTACCAACGACGCCGTAGTGCCAAACCACTGAATGCGCAAATCTCCACCAACAGCATAACAATAACAATAGCAATAACAAAAACATTTGAGCTGCGTTAACAGTTAGTACAATAAAGCAAACACAAACACTTATAAATATTAGCAACATAGCCTATTTTAGCAATACTATTTCCCGGTATTGTCGTCGCGTTATAATTTATTTTCAAAGAAAAACATACTAATAAATTTTAATTTAGAACTGAGCATATTTCAAAAGTATTTACTATGAATATAGTTGTTCACCGATCATTAATTTCTACATTTATGAAATATTTACGGTTTGTAATTGTGTGCATGATGAACTTTTGCTTGTGGTGAACGTAACTTTAAATTTTGTCGCTAAATATTTTTGACTGATTTTAAGCTGGTTTATTAATTCCATGCACTATTCGCAAGTGTAGTGTTTTGAGACTCCCTAGCTCGTATAAGAAATCAGTAAGTATAGCTGGATACATGTATTCCGAAGACGACAGGGCAAATGGCCCTGGGCATGACCCAAAGACCAGTCCACGTGTGCAGGGGCCACAAAAAACTAAATTAACCTCCAAAAGTCATGAGGTCATATAAACAAAGTATTCACAGCTCCTCTCTTCTTTTGAGCGGCGTCCTCGTCACTCCTCCTGGTACACCTCCCGCACCAGCCATCCATCACAACATATTCGGTACTACAATAAAGCACTCACGAGCCAACTGCAACAGTCGACAGATAGCACCAGACTGAAGAACCATACCTAGTCTCCTCAGCAGCTTCAGCTGCATTTGGAGTTACGTTCGGTCGGACAACCAGATTCTTGGCCGCATAAACCTGTTGAGCATCAATTGCTTCCAGGACCAGACGGTGGAATTCTGGTCCGTATGTAAGGAGAACGGTAGTGTTATTTCCAACACCTAAACACGGATTTCGTATGGAAAGTGCTGATACGAAGCTTTACAAATGTTTCACAACGGTGTAGCTTCAGTTGTTAATAGCTTGTCTGTGGAACATGGGAATAAGGCGAATTCAAATGTAGATGTCAGTCCGAATTCCTTTGTTGTGGCGGATTCAGGGATTCTCCGTCATCACAGTAGATGCGCCTCCTTCAATTCACGGCCCCTTACGCCTCTATCTTCATCTACTGCACGCTGATATATTCATACTTCCTTCCACGCATGTAAAGCTCATGATGGCCAGTGCACAACGCCAAAATGCGCTTATTCATCGTGGATTTCTCTACTAAAATGTAGAATTTCTTTGCAGTCTTGTCTGCTGGTTGGATTATAAACTTCTTGACATGAAAAGTGAATTCGATTTTGGGGTACAACAGATTATCAGAGTCATAGATACTCAAATCCAGAGCA